GATGTTTTGTCATAAGGCACATTTTGTCTAGACTTATGCTGCAGAAAGCTGGACTACGTTTTTTGCTCAAATAATCTTTTGTTTTACTAGATTTATCTGACTTTTAAACAGTGTTATGAACTAGTACACAAGCACTCTGTTGTTTTCTGCTATTGCTCTGTGCTATAGGCACCTTTTGCCTTTTAAAACTTTTAGCTGTGTGATTTGGGTCAGCTAGCTCTAGCTAGTGTGGACTCAGCATGTCTTCTGGTTCTCTCCTGGCTTCTTCATGTCCTCCATTGCTCTTTGTCAGAGGTTTAGATATTCTTCCGCCTGTAGGGGTAAAGGGATGTGTAATAAATGTTTTATGTCTTATATGTAGTACTTTGAGGTGAGAGTCATAGGATTGGTGGATTGGACCCAGTTACAGACAAACATCTAAAATAAAATAAAAAACGTCTTTATTTTAGATAACCAAAGCAACAGGCCGTGGCGGCAGAACTTTACAAAGAAAAGAATACTGGAGCGTGAGGAAAACGGACCCAAATGAAATAAGCTGATGGAGAGGTGGTGACTGGAGACTGGTTATACTGGTTAACTGAGGGAGAAAGGAAAATGGGAACACCTGGGTTGATTGTAAATTACTAACAGGAACAGACTAACTTAAATAAATACTGAGGAAGCTGACGTAAATGGAAAATGGCACAAGAAACACTGGAAAACAAAAGACCTAAACCAGAACACCAAAAATAAAACCCCATTATGAAATATAAAAACACAAATTATCTACACCAAACAGGAAAACACAAGTGAATTGAAAAAGAAGATGAAGAAAAATAAAAAAAAACATGAATGACAAAGGAAATACAGTAGTCCTTCGCTACTTCGCGGTTCATTTTTCGTGGACTCGCTCTATCGCAGTTTTTCAAAATAAGATTGGACATGACACACAATTGGCTGATTGATGGATGAGCCGCACGATAGGCATGGGATTTTTATTTAAAATTAATTATTGTAGTATGACATATACTGGATATATTCATACGTTTAACGGGTTCTTTATTTTTCTGACTGTGTAACATGCGTGCATTGAGTTTAACAGAAATGTAACGAGAGACGTTATTTATCTTTGACCCATCAAAATGAATGCGGTCATTTATTTACAGAATCAAAGTTTAACATCAAACATTTACATTAATTTGGCAAAATATGAAAATAACAACAGCATAGTTTTACAGGAAGTGAGAACAATACGGCGATTGTTTTCACTTTTCAGCTAAAACGGCAGACATGACTTAATCAGTTTTACAATCAGGAAAATCATACGGCCATGATTTTCCGTTGCATCACCACAGACATTAATGAAAACATCTGGATTAATTTTTAGGAGAAAGGAGAGTTTAAGATGGAAAATGGAGATTTATCTTACAGAGAGATGTGTGAGGGAATTTATCTGTGGTACCAGAACAACACGCTCTTTGGAGAATAAGCTTGGCCCACGGTACGCTTGGTCGAAATAGAACTTTTACCTGGTTGATGATAATCAGCGTCGGTGTAAAGTTCCCTTCTGACTCTTTCAGCGTCTCCGTGAGGACAGCCAAACCCTTAGGAGTCGTGTGAGGTTATCCAAACAGAAGTTATAATCCCCAAAATCGTCTCTGGATCATCTTGAATGCGTTTGCATCCAAGAACTCTGAACTCTTTACGTCTCCAACTCTTTCAAAGCTCTACTCATCTCGTCTCGTCTTGTCTCGACACGACAACGGAACTTTTAGACGACACTTCTCTCCGAGAACTGGGAAGTTGCCACATTTAAATGGGTTCGACTTCCGGTTCATTTGAGAGCTTTCTGATTCGTGGATGGACCAGAACAGAGGTGTGGTTTGTGATGTAAGGTGTTATGGAAAGTCAAGGTCAGAGATTAAGTTTGTTTAAAACAGACAGAAAGATTGTTGGAGAACTTCAGACTTCGTGGAGTCTCTCCTCCTAGTATCTGCTGTGAAAGTTAAACATGACATTTCTTTTCAGTAAACCTTTTAGTTGACCGAGCCTCGAACTTTAACACACTTACAAATTTGCTCATTGAAGACAGAAAAATCAAGAAATGCATATTAACCTGATTTCTTCTTTGCATGAGGAATAAAAATCATTACTTACTGTTTATGTAAAATAAAAATGAGTAGTTCTCTTCAACCTGTAAACATTGTTTGAACTAACACAATTTGATTATCAAACATTTGTAAAATAGTAATGATCATAGAGGATTGTCTTTTCCACTTGATTAATTCAAGAAAGAAAGTCTCAGGATGGGTCAAACTGTATTTCTGGATTCAGATCAATGAAATGACAGTTTCTGTCCCACAAGGTTCTTAAGGTCAAGGGTTTTGACCTTAGGCTTAGTTTGACATCAGGTTAAGTTCACTACATTATTTAAAATGATTTAGCACCTGCTGCACCTTTGTGCAGCCCATACTGCAGGATAAACTTCCTGCTGCAGCTGATCAGCTGTTCTCGTGCAGAGAGAAGAAGTGGACGTGGCCAAGAGCACTCGCAGGTGGCTGAGAGCAGCGGAGGCAGGGAGCTGAAATCATGACATTCTGTGCTCTTTTAGAGCGTTTAGAGTTTAGAAACATTGTTTAGAATATTGCAATAATGTGAGAAGGGTTATTTATATATATATATATATATCTACTACTTATTACTTGTACTACTATTCCTACTTTATGGTGTTTCACTTATCACGGGGCTTCAGGGTACAGATCCCCCACGATAAACGAGGGGCTATTGTACTATGATGAATTAAAGGACTAATAAAAATCACAGAAGGTACAGACAAAGCACTTAGGCTGTTGGAATTGGAAGCTTGGTTCTGCTTTGTTGAAAACCCATTAGCTAGGAAGGTCCTTTTATGCAGAGTGAAACGTTGGTTACATATTGTAACCCCAGATTCTATGAGTGTAAGTGTAGCCCTTTAAAAGCTGTCGCTATTGGGTTTACCCGCAAGCAGCACGCCAAACACTGTAAACTTCTAGTCCACTTCCATTTGCTGTGTGGGCCCCACCCGGTCTGTTAGAAATTGCATCTTGACCGGAGCTTGACTCCCAAAGGCTTACTCTTTTTCTTTAGCCTTTTGAGAGCCAGTGAGGCCCAGTTTTTAAAGGGCTATGCTTACACTCATAGAATCTGGGATTACAATACGTAACCAACATTCTATTTCCAAACCACTGTATGGACCTCTCCGCTCTAACCCTGTCAGAAAAACAAAGAGTCACTAATCTGGGAGTGATAATGGACCCTTCCCTGAAACTTAACAGTCACGTAAACATGATTGTTAAATCATGTTTCTTCCAACTGAGGCGGCTGTCTAAACTGAAGCCCATATTGTCCAAAAATAACCTAGAGACAGTAATACATGCATTCATTAAATCTAGGCTTGATTACTGCAATTCGCTCCTGTTTGGTATCAGTCAGACCTCCATTGCACGCCTACAACTGGTCCAGAATGCAGCAGCCCGATTTTTAACCAGTACAGGCAAAAGAGAGCACATTACACCAGTTTTGGCCTCACTGCACTGGTTACCGGTTCACTTTCGAATCCAGTTCAAAGTACTCCTGTATGTCTACAAATCACTGAACAGTTTTGCGTGCCCCCGTCCGCTATTGGGACGTGGAATGTCACCTCAAAGGTGGGGAAGGAGCCTGAGCTGGTGTGTGAGGTTGAGAGGTTCCGGCTAGAAATAGTCGGACTCACCTCTACGCATGGCTCTGGCTCTGGAACCAGTTTCCTTGAGAAGGGTTGGACACTCTTCCACTCTGGAGTTACCCCTGGTGAGAGGCGCCGAGCAGGAGTGGGCATACTTATTGCCCCCCATCTTGGTGCCTGGGTGTTGGGGTTCACCCGGTGAATGAGAGGGTGTCCTCCATCCGCCTATGTGTGGGGGGATGGGTTCTGACTGTCGTTTGTGCTTATGCACCAAACGGCAGTTCAGATTATCCACCCGTTTTGGAGTCCTTGGAGGGGGTACTGGAAAGTGCACCTCCTGGGGACTCCCTTGTTCTACTGGGGGACTTCAATGCTCATGTGGGCAATGACAGTGAGACCTGGAGGGGTGTGGTTGGGAGGAACGGCCCCCCGATCTGAACCCGAGTGGTGTTCTGTTGTTGGACTTCTGTGCTCGTCATGGATTGTCCATAACGAACACCATGTTCAAGCATAAGGATGTCCATATGTGCTCTTGGCACCAGGACATCCTAGGCCGCAGTTCGATGATCGACTTTGTCATCATCTCATCTGATGTGCGGCCACATGTCTTGGACACTCGTGTGAAGAGAGGGGCGGAGCTGTCAACTGATCACTACCTGGTGGTGAGTTGGCTCCGATGGTGGGGGAGGATGCCGGTCAGACCTGGCAGACCCAAACGTATTGTGAGGGTTTGGTGGGAACGTCTGGCAGAGTCTCTTGTGAGACGGAGTTTCAACTCCCACCTCCGGGAGAACTTTGAACATGTTCCGAGGGAGGTGGGGGACATTGAGTCTGAGTGGACCATGTTTCGTGCCTCTATTGTCAAGGCGGCCTACCAGAGCTGCGGCCGCAAGGTTGTCGGTGCCTGTCGCGGTGGCAACCCTCGAACCCGATGGTGGACACTGTCAGTGAGGGATGCTGTCAGGCTGAAGAAGGAGTCCTATCGGGCCTATGGTAGTCATCACTGAGGTCCCAAACCGCTGGTCCATGGTCCTAGTCACATTTTTAATTTAGAGGTTAAATGACATATCCTCATCAAAAATAACACCTTGTGCTCTGCTGATTTTAGCTTTCTATTTTAATATGAATCCTAAACTGCTTCATGAACATGAACTTAAACTGTTTAAAAAATACAGAAGATTCTATATCTAAGGAATGAGCTGTGTGATGCCCATGAAAAGTTGATGTTTGCTTCCTGCTGAGCGTCAGGTCTGTCAGTAATAAAACTTATTTATCTAGATTCAGCACATGGTTCTAACCCACTTCTTTTATATTTCAGATCTGTTTGGAGTTGAATCAGGGGACACTAGCCAGTGTACGGAGGTGGAAATGGCCACAAGGTCTTTGGAAAAGTATTGTATCTGACAAACCAACAGGACACTCAAGCAAGGTGTGGTGACCAGTTTGTGTAGAATATGAAACGCGTCATGTTCACCATCAAACCATGAATGTTCTTATAGGACTTCAGGTCTAAACTATTCTTGAATAAAATAAGAGGTGGATTGTTAGCTGAGGTGTGAGCCAGCTGAATAAAGCCAAGTGAGCCTGTCTGTCTATAGTTGCTTCTGTTCTTTGTTTTCTTGTATTGTTCCTAGTTACCACACTGCTGATGACCAGCTGTGGCTGCAGCTGGAGTTTCTGTGTCCCTGAGTGCTACAAGCACTTTAAAGTACTTTTATCTGTGAAGTTTATCTGAACTAGTTACTCTTCATTAAGTTCAGTTAGAATGGTGTATTTGTAATTTGCATCCCAGTAAATTATTTGAGTAAACATGAAAATGAGAACAGTTAGTCTTTCTGAATGTTCTCTACTAAAGGCGGATAATTTATTTAGACATTATTTGCCCATGAAATACAATCTTCTAATTCTCACCGCTCTCAGAATGACCTGCCATGTTTTTACAGAACTTACAATGACTCAGAACATTAAACTGAGATTTGATTTCAGTCAAAGACCAAACTGTGTGACTGGATGTTAATGTTGTGTAGTGGTCAACCGGCTAACAGCTGACTGAAATCTTTGCTTCTTGTTTTAACTTCTGTTACTTAAATTTTACAGGAGTACAGGAATTTTACTCACATATTGCAACAAAACGGGGCTAAAAAAAACTATTATTAACTAATAACTATTGAAATTAACTTTCCTGATGTGGTTCTTAATGCAAATCTTTGTTTTCATGTTATTTTTGGTCAAAGCTATAAAACACCAGTTGTGGCCCTAGAGCCACAGGTTTCGGAACCCCAGTCCAGATAGTCTTAAATTATATGAAAAAGAACTGTTCCATTTTTAAAAAGGTTGACTCCATTTCCCATAATGCTTTGTTTCCAGGGAAGGATTTACTCTGGCTTTCTCTGGGATGCCTCATCAGGCATTGACCTGAAGGATGCTTGGGTCCTGGAGTCTGCGGCTGTCAATGGCAACGGGAATGATGCTGACCCTCGGCTCTACCTGGCTCACTTCTCAGTAAGACTGCATGGTTTAAGCTTGGTTGTAGTCCATGAGAAGTAAGAGAATGTGTCTTACTGACATGGGTGTTTGACCAAAAACTATATATATTTCTTCACTCACACTTACCCACTGCTAGCTCTTCCTCTTGTGCTTTGCCCCCAGGCAGGACTTGTTTCTTACAGGGTCTAACAAGCAGTGGTGGACAAAGTACTCCATTCTAGTACTTAAGTAAAAGTAATGATAATCATTGTTACATCTTATTCAACTACAAGTAAAAGTTGCTCAGTCAAAAGTTTACTCAAGTTAAAGTACTGAAATACATTCTTTTGAAAATACTTAAGTATTCAAAAGTAAGTGCATTTAAAAAAATACTCAAGTATTTAAAAGTACAAATTATATTTTCTAATATCAGTACACTGCTGTATTGTTTTGAGTGATTTTACAGAACTTTGTAACTCTGAAACCACCTGATGATGTATTGACATATAGAACCACTCAACACCACATGCCTTAATAAAACCTGTAAACTACAAATAATATCATCCCTGCATTTTACATGTTTGTGGGAAGTCATGGAAATCCTAACAGATGATGCACATTTAGTATTTTCCTCAGCTTTAGTATTCAAACACCACATTGTTTGTGTGTAAAAATGCATATGTTGACAGCAACAACTTAACACAGGAGAGGAAACAGTAACACTGATAACTGAAAGTTCTGCCATACTTAACACAGAAGCTTACAAAACAATGAATGTTCTGCACAGATGAATCTAGCATCATTTAGGTCTCTTGAAAATGAGTTTTCGTGGCTCAATGAGACTACCTGTATAAATAAAGGGTAAATGAAACAAAAAAAATCATACCTGAACAACTGGTCAACTGCATTTAAGGAAAGAAAAACAGCAACAGTGGATTACAAAGCTGAGCCCAAAGGAACAAGAAGCTTCCTAGAAATGTAGTGGAGTGAAAGTCATAAGTTCCCCAAAACACAAATACTCAAGTAAAGTAAAGATACTCATAAAATGTACTTAAGTACAGTATTCAAGTAAATGTACTTCATTACTGTCCACCACTGCTAACAAGGTTGAGTCAGTCTGAGACTGAAGAAGTCCTTTGGATTAAAGATGAAATATTTCAACAAAGAAGAACTGACTCAACCTTGTTAGATTTATCTGTCTGGATTACTGAGCATGCAGCAGGACTTCCTTAAGGGTCGGCAGTGAGCATTGTGTGACTTGACTGAGGATCATGAGCATGTCTGTTTATGTACAGTGGTTGCAGTCAGCTGATCACTGAGGAGCTGTTGGCTGAGGCTATGATAAAATACAGCCATCATTACAACTTTGCCAGGACAAACGCTACAGAACGTCAAATACAATTTATAAAGACAGAATAAGAACTTGTGGACGGAGACCAAGACCACTGCTGAACTATCCAACAATGTTCAGTCAGGTCATCTGGACAGTATCTTTTTTTTGTTGAGAGATGTTTCACCCTCCATCCGAAGTGCTTCATCAGTCTGAGGAGTCATGACCAAACTGTTTTCCCCACCAAGCAGTACACTCTTACAGTGGACCAACCAGTTTTCTGGTGATAAGATGTTTTCTGGAAGCTGTCTTCTCCCCTGTCGACTCCTCCCAGGCAACCACAGCCAAAGTAGTTCAAGACATCAAGGTTCATGCTCAGTAATTAGGACGGCCCCCAGAAACCATCTTATCACCAGAAAACTGGTTGGTCCATAGTAAGAGTGTACTGCTTGGTGGGGAAAACAGTTTGGTCGTGACTCCTCAGGCTGATGAAGCCCTTTGGATGGAGGGTGAAACATCTCTCAACAAAAAAAAAAGAAATTGTCCAGATGACCTGACTGAACACTGTTGGATTTTATACCTGGTTTTGTGAGACAGAGCAGGCGAGGGCAAAATGTGCCTATATAGGTCACCATCCCCATGAACTGCCTCACTCCCTCCAGATTATTTCTGCCATGTTGAGAATTGCTTTGCTTTAATTTCACACCAACCTCACATTTTTCATTCATACTATTGAAAAGATTTTTTGAAATTCTAGAAAACCACAACAAAAGCACCTTTTAAATCGAAACAAAATGGCACATTTAAATGTAACTTAATCCTAAAGAAAAATCCATTTTGTTTCCAAAGAAGAAGGGACTGTTTGAAAAGCTGAATTTTTTATGTTTAGTAATTGACTTTTCACATTAGGTTGGGTCACTGGAGCTAACGGTGGTTAATGTCCATCTGTCGACCACAGCAGCAGCAGGAGAGTCCATCAGTAAAAACAACAGTTCAGAAGAAGCCAAGTGTCAGTGTTTCCCCCACAGCCTCCTGGAAACACTCAAAGGTTGGTCCGTCAGGGTTAGATGGGTTATGTATGAAACTATCGTGGACTATTGAGCACACCCAAATGTAAGCTGCGCCTGCTAAAATAATAATAATAATAATAATAATTGTACACATATAAGCTGCGCTTGTCAATAAACCACAGGTGTCCATATTGTAGCATGAGATATTTACACAAAAATATATTTTTTACTTTTAATTAAATGCATATACTAAATGTTTTTTTCTGAACAGTGACTGTAACACGGCTGGTTAAAAATATAAAAAATACAGTAGCTTAACAGGCATTCATTGATCGCTTTCTTCATCTTCCTCCTGTGCAAGCTTGTCCTCTTCATCACGCAGCTGCATTTTGAAACCCGCTGGTGATGGAGGATGTTTTTACATTGCTCCACAGTCAGGATCCACTGTCAAGATCCACTGTCAGGATCCACTGTCAGATCCACTGTCAAGATCCACTGTCAGGACCCGCTGTTGTGATCAACCATCAGGATCCACTGTTGGGATCCACTGTCTAGGTCCACTGTCAAGATCCACTGTCAGGATCCACTGTCAAGATCCACTGTCAGGATCCACTGTCGAGATCCACTATCAGGATCCACTGTCAGCCTCTCACCGAGCTCGGAGCGACATTTTAAATGCACAATTCACACTTATTTCAAGTGGCTGCAAATACTTCATTGTGCCCCCAGTTTCCCCCCCTTCAAAGCCGGGGAGGAGGGGGTGGGGCTTCATTTCCCCCCTCTCCCGTTCTCTCCTCCCCTTCCCGTCTCATGGGTCCACTGTGACCTGTTTGGTAATTTAATTTGTCAGATTTCTTTTAACCTTTATTTATACAGGCAGTCTCAATGAGTCACGAGGACACACACCCCCCCCCCCCCCCAAGAGAAATGTGTACTGGGCAGCTAGGTGAGCGCCCGGATGTGACAAGACTAAATGTTTTGACCGCATGAAGCTCAATAGCCCATCAAAAAAAATATTTAAAACAAAATCCATAAATTTGTCACAACATTGTTGACAAGAACTGGTCTAGGATCAGTACAACAAGAGCAAGAGCCATATAAAAGGTTTATTATAAATCGATAGTCTCTGGTGGAGGTCTGGGTCCTGGGCCGGGTCCAGTCTGTCAAGACAGAAGTGTTAGTTGTCGAGTCTTGGACTTGACATGCTGTGCTAAGCGTGCCTGATCTGTACAGTCCAACACTTGCTGAAGTGTGGTCTGATCTAGACACGTTGTTAGTTTCTGTTTAATGTGCTCTTCTTTGGCCTTCAAGGCCTCATTCCATATGTTGAGGGAGTATCAGAGAAACTGAGACGTTTATTTTCTAAACATAACGTCCCAGTGGCTTTTAAACCCCAAAATACATTACGGCAAAGACTGGTTCATCCCAAAGATCCAGTCCCCCGGCACAAACAGAGTAATGTTGTGTATGCTGTTCAGTGTCAGGAGGGCTGTGATCAGTCTTACATCGGGGAAACTAAACAGCCACTGGCCAAAAGGATGGCCCAGCACAGAAGATCAACATCATCAGGCCAGGACTCTGCGGTCTACACTCATCTCCAGGCCAGCGGTCACTCTTTCAGGGATGAAGATGTTCACATCCTGGACAGAGAGGAACGATGGTTTGAGAGAGGAGTAAAGGAGGCCATCTTTGTGAAAATAAATCGTCCATCGTTAAACAGGGGTGGAGGCCTCCGGGTTCAACTGTCCCCCTCTTACAATGCTGTGATTGCTAGTATCACTCAGCCCTCTGTGAACAGTAAACAGCCATCAGTGTGCTAATGATCCATTGTTATGCTGATGGTCCTTCTTGAGCATGTGATCATCTGGTTTTGGTTGTCAGCAGCAAAACTGGTTGATCCACCCTGAGACGGTGCTATTTAAGAGACTGAGCTGAATACAGCTCCTCAGACTGAGGAAGTCTCTCGGATGAGAGACGAAACGTTTCTACATTTTTTTGTTGATTTGCTTTGTTTTGGTTTTTTTGAATGTCCAGAGGACCAGATTTAACTTTTTTAGAGTTTGTAAAGTTGTATTCTAGACAGTTCACGTTATTTTGTTGTCCACCTCGGCCCACCAGCTGCCCAGGGTTATGATTACACTTGAGAAATGAAGATGAGCAGATTTGATTTTTGTTTGTTTGTTTTTAATATAATTATTGATCATCAGCATGGGTTTTAGACCTGGACATGCTTTTTGTCAGAGGAAAGCTCCTGCAGGTGTCAAGTTATAACTTTACTCTTCAGTCCAGTTGGAGATGTTCATGATGACTCTGCCACTATTTGGCGCCAAAATTTCTTGCACAAATTTTTTGAACATGTTTGACATTCTTGTGACAAGAATGAGTCCTTGTGACTTCACACAAGGATAAACAATAAAAAACATTGAGTAAATCTAAACTAAATATTATCATTTAAAACAATATTTAAGGTATAAAATGAAAATAAAGATCTAGTATAAAGCGAGGTCCCTCTTTAAGACTCACAGGTTTCTAATGAACAAAATAAAATGTGTGTGTAAAGAAAGCCAACATCTGTCCATGAAGACGAGCCTCAGGAGGTGTCATTCAAAGCACAGTGTGTTTTCAGAAGCTGACTCATGTAGAAACGTTCTCCTCTGCAGGTGAGCAGCCACTGTTGTTACTGGGAGACTTCGGCTGCTCTCCTCAGAGCTCAGAGCTGGACGTTCTGAGGAAAGAGAAGCTCTGTGCCTTGGTCCCATCAACCCAGTTCACAAACATCAGCACTCGAACGCCACAGGGGACATGCTGCTTGGATAACATCTGGCTCAGCCGCTCCCTCAAGAAGGTCTACACAGGTGAGGATCTGATCCACTGGTTTCTACAAACTGGTCCAAGGAGAACTTTGAAAAGTCAAGCTGCCTTCCAGGATTTTTCAGGAGAAAAAGAAGGCTGAAAAATCTTGACTGAACAGTGTTTTTCTACCCAATGAAGTTACCACATGAGTTATGGCTAAACCCCACTGCAGCCTTTCCTCTAAGGGGTATATTGGACTAATCTAACACTTTGGCTTTACCCAGAGTGACGTTAGGCTAGTTCTGTTTAAGGCTGTGTTGGAGGTGGTTCACCCAGACTGTTCACGACCATCATTTGCAAGTCACACCCTTGTCTCACCCCGTGACTCGTTCAACCTAGTAGCCGGGGTTAAATAGTTGATCACGGGGAAACTGGCATTTTGGCCGCTCACCTCCTATTGTAGAACTGCAATTGTTACCGATCTGGTAGTTTTTAGAATCTAGGCACAAGATTCCAGGGTGTTGTTCGATCGAAATGAAATGAACTTATTAAACAAAAAACTCTATTCTTAATACAAAGACTCAGAAAAGAAAATTTTGAACAGAACAATAAACCAGGTAGCTTTTTAGCAAAACAGCTTAAAATAAATAAGGAAAAAACAACTATTCATGGTGTTAAAGACTTGACTGGGAATACAGTTTATGATCCTGAAAGAATAAACTGCATTTTCAGAGATTTTTATAAAGCTTTATACTCATCACAGATAAACCCATCAGATAATGAAATTGATCAATTTCTGGATAAAATAACACTTCCTAAATTATCAGATAGTCAATCAATGGAGCTGGACTCACCACTGACACAAGTGGAACTCCAGGAAGCCCTCAAAAGCATGTCCAATAAAAAAGCTCCAGGTCCAGATGAATTTCAAGCAGAGTTCTACAAAGAATTCTGGAATATCCTGGCACCACTATTTCACAGAATGCTACAGGAAACTGAAAAAAATAACAGACTTCCAGAAAGTATAAACTCAGCCAACATTAATCTCCTGTTAAAACCAGGCAAAGACCCTGTATTACCTACCAGTTATCGTCCCATATCCCTTATCAATGTTGATCTTAAAATAATTTGTAAAGCCCTCTCAAAAAGATTGGAAAAGATAACTCCTCTCATAATACATCCTGACCAGACTGGTTTTATAAAAGGGAGGCATTCATCCACAAATTCACGCAGATTAGTTAATTGAATTGATTATTCTTACAGTAAAAATATTGAAACTGCAATATTCTCTCTAGATGCAGAAACACTTTTGATAGAGTTAACTGGAAATTTTTATTTGCAGCCTTGCATAAATTTGGTTTTGGAAATTATTTCATAAACTGGTTAAAAATATTATACGCTTCCCCAGCAGCATGCATTAGGACAAATAATTAAATATCTGCTAGCTTTCTTTTGCAAAGGGGCACGAGGCAGGGATGTCCACTCTCCCCCTCACTGTTTGCTATTTTCATTGAACCACTAGCCACAGCAATCAGGCAAACTACAGATATTAAAGGCATAAAATGCAAGAACATAGAGCACAAAATCAGTCTATAATGCTGATGATGTGTTGCTCTTCCTCCAGCATTCACAAACCTCCCTCTCCAAGGTTATTGGATTGATGAACTCTTTTTCAAGAGTTTCAGATTACTCTATAAACTGGATAAAATCCACAGTTCTACCAATTAATTGCTATTTCAACAATTCACTTACTACACAACTGCAGTCAGGGAATATGACGTACTTGGGTATCAAAGTCTCTCCTAGATTGGCAGATTTAACAAAACTAAACCACATCCCACTTTTAAAGAAAATTGAGGATGATCTTGCTAGATAGAAATCTCTACCCTTGTCTCTCATGGGAAGAATTGCTTCAATAAAAATGATGGTTTTGCCTAAAATAAATTATCTATTCTCAATTATCCCAAATAAACCATCATCTGACTGCTTTAGATCCCTGGACTCCTCCGTCTCTAAATTTCTCTGGAAAGATAAATCCCCACGTATTAAACTAAAAACACTACAGAAGACCAAAGATAAAGGAGGACTAGAGCTACCCAATTTCTATTATTACTTTCTAGCCAACAGCCTAGAATACATCTCAAGATGGATAAAACACACACCCCTTGATGAACCCTGGCTAGACGTAGAACAGACACTTTGCAATAATATAATGATCTCGGACCTTCCATTCATTAGCTCAAACATAAAACGACAGGAATGCTTTAAAAGCATCAATATCAGCTCCTCTCTGACAGCTTGGTGGGAGTTTCTTAAAATGACAAAGTCTTCACTAATTCCATGCAGAATTGTGGGGGGCTGTGGGTGGGGGGGCTTTTGCTCGGGTGGCTCTGCACTGCTGGCCCTGGGGGTGTAAGGATGGTACCATTTGTTGGCTCGGTTTGTGTCTGTTTCCCTAGTGTTTTCTCTTTAGTTTAATTGGTGCCACCCTTGTCTCGTCACAGCTGTTTGTAATCACGTCTCGTCTTGTCCCTGTATATAAGCCGTCTGTTCAGTCTTGTTCCTCGTCGTGTCGTACTCGTTGGGTATCCTGTGTTCTCCTGCGTCTCCTGAGTCTTCCCTGAGCTTCCTGAGTCCTTTCTGAGTTTCCCCCCTGAGCCTCCTGTTTTCATGTAAGTTTTGCTGCCCCGTCAGCTGGTTATTTTGTGACTTTATTCATCATTAAAATATTTATTTTTGTAATCGGCCGAGTTGAGTCCTGTCTGCACTACTGGGTTCGTCCATGACCACCAAATCCTGACATTACGACACGACCACATATCAGAACCCAGCGGGCAGGATTCTCTCGGCAACTTACCTTTTTTCTTTTTCTCCTCCGAGCCTCTTGAGATGAGCAAGCCCACATTCCGGTGCGGCGGGTTCTGCACCAGGCCCGTCCGCACACAAGGACGTTATGACCAGGAGGTGGAAGTCCTGTCTTCACCACTCCTGGTCCTCGAGGAAAACAGGTCTCGGCACCGGGGAAGCCACCAGACCCCTGTTTCTGAATCTGCCTTGCCCGGTTATTCGGGGTGGACGTCGGGGGAGGGTGAAGAATTCGAGGATGAGTTCTGTTTTGTTCCTGTCCCCCGACTCTCCCGCCGTCGCCGGGGAGGTAGAAAGTGGTCCCGGGGGCAGTCCGCTGCGACCGGGCCGGTCTCGTCGGCTGAGCAGAATTTTAGAGTTGGTTCTGGTTTTTCTGTGGGAGCCGTGTCCGCCGCCTCACCTCTCAGGTTTTCGGTGGGGGCGAGATCCGACGTCCCGCGGGGGCTCCGGTCCACTCCTGTTCGGCGAGTCCGGTCCACTTGACGTCACAGGGGCGGATTCCGTCGCCTCACGTTCCAGGTTCCTGGTGGGGGAGGAGTCCGGCCTCTCACCGTCACACCGCGTTGCGGCTGTCCAACCCAGCCTGACCGTACCTCCTGTGCATACTCCCAGGGACTCTGTGGGGGCGTGTTCCGCCGCCCCACCTCCCAGGTTTCCGGTGGAGGCGACACCTGACACCACACCCTCACATAGAGACATTTGTCCGTCAGTCACATATTCACCCCATGATCTTGCATTTATAAACCAGACTTTACTAGATTCATTTATTAATGCTAAACAAAACCCGGACTGTTCAGACGTCATATTTTCCCTGATGGAGAGATTTTTAGTTTCATGGCCCGGTCTCATTCTGCTCCTAGAGTATAATCAGTTATTAATCAAAATTAGGACTCTCATCACACCCATGGTCACTAATACACATTCTGAACCCATAATTCATCCTGCACCTTTTGTCACCACCGTCTCTGAACTCTCCTCTGCTCCTCTGACTCCTGCACCCATCACCTTCGCCGCTGGTCCACCTGCTGAGCACCTCGCCGCTGGGGCACCTGCTCCTGTCGCCTCAGAAGACTCAGCATCTGTTCCTGTTTCCCGCCGCCACCACCGCAGAAGATCAGTTCCTGCCGCCGCCACCGCCGCAGAAGTGTCAGTTCCTGCCACGGCCGCAGAAGAGTCAGTTCCTGCCGCCGTCGCCGCAGAAGAGTCAGTTTCTGCCGCCGCAGAAGAGTCAGTTCCTGCCGCCGCCGCAGAAGAGTCAGTTCCTGCCGCCGCCGCCGCCGCCGCAGAAGAGTCAGTTCTTGCCGCCGCCACGGCAGAAGAGTCAGTTCCTGCCGCCGCCGCAGAAGAGTCAGTTCCTGCCGCCGCCGCAGAAGAGTCAGTTCCTGCCGCCGCCGCAGAGGAGTCAGTTCCTGCCGCTGCTGCAGAGCCACAGGCCTCTCCGTCGTCTGCTGCAGAGCCACAGGCCTCTCCGTCATCTACTGCAGAGCTCCAGGCCTCTCCGCCATCTGCTACAGAGCTCCAGGCCTCTCCGCCGTCTGCTGCAGAGCTCCAGGCCTCTCCGCCGTCTGCTGCAGAGCTCCAGGCCTCCATGACTGCAGCAGCAACTCCCCTGGCCTCCATGACTGCAGCAGCAACTCCCCTGGCCTCCATGACAGCAGTGGCGCTCTCCAAGTCTCCAGAGGGGCCGGCGCTCTCCAAGTCTCCAGAGGGGCCGGCGCTCTCCAAGTCTCCAGAGGGGCCGGCGCTCTCCAAGTCTCCAGAGGGGCCGATGCTCTCCACTACCACAGAGGATTCGCCTCCATGGTCCTCTATGACGCACGCTGCAGTTCTTCAGAGCCCCAAGTCGCACGCTGCAGTTCTCCAGAGCCCCAAGTCGCACGCTGCAGTTCTCCAGAGCCCCAAGTCGCACGCTGCGGTCCCCAAGGTCTCTTCGCCGCCAGATGCGGCTCCCAAGGCCTCTTCGCCACCAGATGTGGCCCCCAAGGCCTCTTCGCTGCCAGATGCAGCCCCTTAGGCCTCTTCGCCACCAGATGCGGCCCCCAAGGCCTCTTCGCCGCCAGATGCGTCCCCCAAGGCCTCTTAGCCGCCAGATGCGGCCCCCAAGGCCTCTTCGCCGCCAGATGCGGCCCCCAAGGCTCTTCGCCACCAGATGCGGCCTCCAAGGCCTCTTCGCTGCCAACGCCGCCTGATACGGCCT